AAATATAATTAATTTTTTTTTTTATTAGAATTGAACCACGCACAATAGGAGAAATATTAGAAATAAGAATAAATGTTGGATATTAAATATAGAGATTAAACGTACAATGGATACATATATGACATATGATATGTCGTATATCTTATTTGTATCCATTGTGTGTTACGTTTATCCCTATTCAATTTTTTATTTCTTTAATACTTATTGTTTATTCCTGTTACTAATATTTCCTCTATTATGCACAGGGTCTTAAGAGAGAAATTTATTTAATTTACGAATACAGTAAATAATATTAAAAATATCCTAATTTTGTATTAAAAATTATTATGAAAGGAACTAGTAGCAAATATAGCTAATTTATTTTACACAGTAATATATTTTAACAAAATCTGTACAATAAAATAGGTAGTAAATCTATATTATCTCCATGCAAAATATAAAGATATAAATTGTTGATTACATAAAGCTATATCAACATTCTTTTAACAATAGATTAAAAACAATTATTCGTTTACCCTGCATATTATCATAATTAAGTAATCATATAATCATCTGGAATCAGCTATACAAATATCCTATTACTCTTTACACTCTGCTAGCATAAAATAGTAGAAAAAGTTAAATTCTTCGCCTATACACAATAATTAACTTATAGAAATTGTATTGCAAATTTCTCTTAGAATTACGTAATTTATAATAAATATGAAATATTCTCATTTAATTTTTTTTAAATAGAAATAATGTGTAATACTTATAAAAAACAATATTAATATTCATTTTTTTTTAAATAATTTATAATTTTTATTTGCTTTACATTTTTCATATTAGATAATGATTTGAGAAAAATATTCCTGAAAATATTTTGCAAAGTATAATACATACTGAAAATAAAATTTTTTATATGTGTGTGTGTGTGTGTGTGTACACACATACATACTTTTGCTGCCATTTCATCTTAAAAATTTATTCTATACCACTCTTTTATTAATATATATTGTGATAAAAAATAATTTTATTATTAATCTCAACATTGTTTATTTCTTTATCTGTTAAATTTTAATAATGCGCTTCTTGAATATATCCCTTGATAGTTTTTGGCAAAGGCAACTTGTGTATATTATCTAATCTAATATATTGGCGGATGACAAAACGACAGAGATATTGCAGACTCCTTACTTGCGTGAATCTGCTCACTGGTTTTGTTAATCTGACCGGAAATGAAGGATATCCTGGATATTTTGGCCTTGAATAACAAATTACAGCGGACTGGCTGAAGTTCATGGAGTGATTTATTAAAGCAGCTACTGAAGTGAAGCCTTCGTTCTCAGTGCTTTGATTGCACAGAGAAAATAAGCCGCCGCTGTGTTCCATTCGCGCATGCAACATCTTCCCAGATGATTTAAAGCTGAGTGTTAGGACATACCTACAGATAATTAAATAGAATTTTATTTAGCACGTATGAATATATGAAATTCTGCAAAGTCAAATTATATAATAAAGTCTAATGTATATGCACCTATCATCTGATGAATCTCGAACTAGAAATGCACCATCTGGCTCAGATATGAGTTTAGCATCAGCCTCATCTCCCGATATAGGACCCCAATACCATCCATATTTACTTAGATTAAGCAATTCCTTTGCGAGACTCGCTTTAACTTTATGTTCGTTATTTAACGTTTCGTTTACACTGCCAGGAACATCTGCTATTGCATTAAGAACTGCCACTGTTGCATCAGAATAGGTAGGTTGCATTACTGTTGCTTCGTTGACAGTTGTAACGTTGCTTATCAATTTATTCTGCTGTCTTATAGGAACTGTATGAAGATTTATGCCAGTTATACCATACTGCATTCTATTAGTTTCATTCTCTTCGATGTGGCATGAATTTTCAAGTATGTCACCTAATCTGGTTTCATACAAAAACCTGTCTGATGAGGCCGGTTCGTCATTTGAATGATATTCTCGTTTTTCACAAGACTTAAAAGTCTTAATGACAGATATAACATTATTCTGCTTTGTACCAGAGCAAGAGATCGATGTCTCTATTTCTTTGTTCTGAAAAAGAATGACAAGGAATTCTCTTAGACAAAACACAATCATTCCAGAAAAAGAAATCTTGTTCCAAACAAAGGAAGGCGACAAAGGAAGAAAAAGAAAAGAAGAAGGGAAAAAAAGTCTACCTTTTTCTTTGACTTGCATAGATTTTTCAGTAGCAAGTGCTTCTTGACATTACATACGAAATCAAAGAACGACAGTTTGCTGTTGGACGAGCCTCTGAATCTACGCTCCGTCGACCTAGTGTCGCTCGTCAAGTCTTCCCTCTTGTACTCCTGATGTCGATTACTCTCGCACCGTCGGAGAAGCGTCGCGAGTTTTCCACCCGTGTTTCCACGCCTGGATTTCCGTCGCGCGCCCGCTTGCTCCGCAGCGATGCCCGTGGTCGACTCCGGCTCCCTGTTCTGATCTGTCATATTCGTACGTGGTAGCGTCCGAGTCCTCGGAGCGAATTGTTCCACCCACCGTTCCTGTAGCCGCGGTACTCGCACACGCCATCTATTTCACGCGGCCGGTGTGCTCGTGACGCTCCGCGTCCGAGATTACTCTGGAATTTATCTTGAAAACCAGCGACGACCAGGACTACTGTCAAAAAATTCCGTCGGGCAGACACCAATGGAAGATGTCGCCCTTTTTGTCGAGGTCGATGCCGCCTAGTACTCCGAGCACCCGACAGAGCACACCACACCTCCAGCGAAGATCACACCACATGCTAGATTTATCAACAACGAAAGTACGAATACGGTTCCCTTATTCACTGCGAATACTGAAAATCTTATAGTTCATGTTACGTGTATATATAGATTTTCAGTATTCGCAGTGAATAACAGAATGCAGCTAATATAATTTCTGATATAGCTTCAACTAGATTTCAGTTCTCAAAGAGATTTCGAAATTAGAGAGATAACGAAACGCAACCGACATCGAACGACATAATAGAAATAAGTTTGAGGTAGAGAAAGTTAGATGTGTCCGTGATTTCGTGATCTCTACAGACTTTACAAATAATCCTTTTTCTTTCTAATTTTCGAAAAAGAAAACGTTAGAAAAGCGTAATATAAATTTAAAATTATTTAAACAATTATCTCGTAAATACATAAAACATATATTATTTAAAGTTGCAACAAAATTCTTCAAATCAAAATATTAATATAACGACAATATATAACTTCACAGAGTTCTGTTTAAGTATTAATATATGTATTCTCTGATGATAATTGTTATGCTTATAAACGACATTCAGGCTTTTTCCTTGCATATACGCGACGTCGGAAATTAAACTTAAACGAGATACCAGCATTAATTATTCATGATCGTCTCTATATTTGACGTTTATATTATACTCTCGTACCTAACAGTTCTTAGATGGGATATACATATGAATGTAAACGCTATATGCTGAAATAAATTTTCTTGGAAGTTCGTCAGAGACAGAAACTACATACATACTTTCTTTTTTCATGCACTCTTTTTAAAACAGTCATTTAATCGATCATCTAATTATTTAAATTTGTCTTAACTCATTTTAACTTCTTAGATAGGTTTACGAGAAACGGCCGATACCAACTCGTAAGAAAAACTAAGATTTTTTTAAGCGCGCAGCATTTATATACCTTATTCGAAAGCTAGCGTTATCCAATGAGCGTTTGAATACAACGAGCGCAGCGAAGCACGGCGTTCATTGGCTGACACGCGAATGGTGGGGTTCGCGGAGTGACGGCTCCTATAAATAACGCGTAATTCGCACCTCTGCGCTTTTGCGACTCGAGCAGTCAACAGGAGTGTATCTTGTTATATTACGTTGGAAAAGTTCGCAGGTTCGCACTCCTGTATCTTCGAGTCGATTATGACCTTTCCTCTAAAAGTATCCTAATCTCTACAGAGAATCTCGAATCTACCAACGAATAAAACTACAGAAAACGGCTTGAATTTTGAAAGCATCGTTGGAATTATTTACCAACGAGGTAATCAATAATTAATTATTAAATTATTAATATTTTTACATGCGAGAAATATTTTGAGAATCAAGAGCTTTTAAATTCTCAAACAGTTTTAAAATGTCTAACGTGTTATTAAAATATTTAATGTTATTATTAATATCATGTAATGTAAAAGATTCTAACAGTATTAGTAAACTGATTATTCGGCCGAGAATATTTTTCGACAATAAGTAGTCGTTTGGTTAAAAAATTAAGACGCGAAAACGCGACTATACTGTCGCCGTCTCACGTCACTTTTTAGGTCTGAAGTTGACCGCGTGCGGGAAACGACGCTCCCTCCCCTCTTTTGATCGCATTCACGTTTTATTCGCGGAATGTGGCGGATAGGGGATGACATGGCAGAACGGACCGGCTCTCAAACAAGTAGCAGTGGGAATCAAATATGCTAATGAAACCTATATTAAATCTGTATTTAACTCTTTTTCGATATGTACCACGTAACTATAGATTCGGTATTGATATGTATAATGTGTCCATTCAAACACGTATTTTGTAAAACTTGTTCAACCGAAAGTGTATCGCGTGAATAATTAACAATGAGATTTTCGAATCGATCTACACAATATACGGAAAAAATAATCATCATTATATTACGCTCGCATTTTATGATAATCATATTATTTCTGTATTAAGTATGTAGATTGATATCTGAAAATATCATTGTCAATTATTCACGTGATTGTCAATCACGTGTCATTTTCAAACATTAGACATATCTGATGCTCGAAATACCTACGGAATTCATGAAATTCGCTACAGAACAACAAGTCATTATGATATCAAAATGACTCCGAAATGATTATTAAAAGTCGTTTTTCAATAATTTCTCATTCATTTTAATATTGTTTTGACTTGTTGCTCTGGTTAGGAAATTAGTGGTTGTATGTTATAGTAAATACAAAATTGTACTAAAAAGTGATAATAATAATTGAAATTAAAAGAAAACCCAGATTGCACGCATGTTCAAAATCGAGACATAGTCAATATATGAAGTTTTAAAATATTTTTTAAATTTAGTTCGTAAACATTTCTATAGGAGTTTTGATTTACTCAACATTTCTCGTGTTCATCAGAAGCATAGTTTGAAAAAGATCGATTACATTTTTGTTATTCATATATACATATATACTTGCACGTTTATATGGCGTACCTTGTTTAGCATCTTCGATAAGACCGCGCAAGGCCGTGTACTTTTCACAGACGTATAATGAGAACCCGTAGAAGAAATCGTAGAAACGGTGAAAGATCAAGGGTGAAAGGTGCGAATGTCGCTTCCGCCAAGTTTCAATTTGTGTACAAACGTATGCAAGGATTCGAACTTCATTTCGCGTTGAATAGCTACTTCCCGGCGAAAGGAAAAACGTAGATTAACTGTCGATTTCACCAACCTTTCTCAAAACAAGTAGTAGCTGTTTCGACGCCTTCTTAAACACAATCCTTCCTTGTTCCCATCGATTTATTGATGAATCGCAAATTTAGAATTTTAATAAGCAACTGAAAATTTTACAATCCATAAATTCATAATTTCAGTTTTACTATGAATGTATTGGCTGCAAGTTAAGATCGCAGATTTTTAATCTTCACACAAATCTTCCATTTCACAGATTCTTTCTTTTGATAAATTTTACAACAATTTTCGAGGTTAAATGAAATCAGCGTTTTTTTTATGTCGTCAAGAATTAAATTAAAAAATTGAATCATAATCGAATTGCAGAAAAACTGGTGACTGCTGCTCGTTACGATAATAATGAAGGCAAATCTTGCAACAATTATATTAAAATGAGAAACATATGATTACTTCTTGTTGAAAAAAAATCAATTCTAAAACGCGCGATATTCATAATTCATTCTTATTTTAAAATCATCTTAATTAATGCCTTAAGACATCTATGTGAATGTAGGTTTATGATATCTTAAGACTATTTAAGACGGTTTTAAATATAAGAACTGATTATGAATACCTAAGTTTGTACCATAGAAAGACCCGAATTACTTTCATATGCTTATATCAAACAAATAATTTTTTGTAATATATATATATATATATATAT